TTTCCTTTTCATCAGTCAATACATAAAACTAAAAAAACATTCAAGTATGGTCACTGACACTAACCCCTTCACAATTTTAAAATCAGTTTGCTTTGAAAGCATATTTTGTACCCCATGCTATGAAATGTTGATGTGAAATTACATCATGCATTAAGCATTAAAGAGAACACAAAGCACAAAAAGTTGTAAAAATGATAGAATTTTAATACAGTAGTCCTCCCCATAGCTGTGGTTTCTCTTTCTCTGAAAGGGGTGTGAAGTAGCTGGCATATACCCGTGGTGTTACTTTATGTTTTCTTTTGAAGTTTTTACTCAAAACAGAAAACGCTAATGAGCCACTTGGGGAAATCCTTTTCAAATTCCATGAGTAAATACAGAAATGTCAAAGACAAAGTGGGCTTTAAAAAGGAACCAATGCACACGCTATAACATGGATGGACCTTGATGACATTATGCTAAGTGAAATAAGCCAGTCACAAAAAAACAAATACTGTATGATTTCACTTAAGTGTCTAGAGTAGTCAAACTCATAGAAACAAAAAGAATGGTGGTTGCGAGGGGTGGGGCAGCAGAGGAAAATGGGGAATTGTTTAATGGGTATAAGAGTTCAATTCTGCAAGATGAAATAGTTCTGAGGACTGGTTGCAAAACAATGTGAATACACTTAACAACACTAAACTGTACAGTTAAAAATGATTAAAATGGGGCCGGCCCGGTGGTGCACTCGGTAGAGTGCAGCACTTGGGAGCACGGTGGCGCTCCCGCTGAGGGTTCGGATCCCATATACAGACTGGTCCGCTCACTGGTTGAGCACGGTGCAGGCGTGACACTGAGGGTTGCGATCCCGTTAGCGGTCACGAAAAAAGACAAAAAGGAAAAAAAAATGATTAAAATGGTAAATTTTGTAATAAGCATTTTACTACAATTAAAAATAAATATTTGGATCCCCATACAGGCCAGCTGCCAAAAAAATAAAAACAGGCAGGCCGGTTAGCTTACTTGACAGAGCAAGGTGATAACACCAAGGTCAAGGGTTCAGATCCCCTTACCAGCCAGCCACCGGAAAAAAAAAAAAAAATCTTTTTTAAAAGGATCCAATGAATTATTTTTTAATGTGATAATGACACAGTGGTTACATTTTTAAAACAAAACATTTAGAGATACATACTAACAAGCTGATATTTACAGGTTGATGGGTATATGGATGTTCATTGTACTATTCTACTTTTATATGTGTTTGAAATTTTCCTCAATGAAATAAACAGAAAATAACTTTTTGAAAAAAGAGAACCAATAAAATGAAATTTCCTAATCAAGAGAATCATCTATCTTTAAAATATGAGATCATAGCTTAAACATGTAAAATGAACATTTTAGAAAAAACCGATAAAACATGGCACATCACTTACTTCATTTGAAAGAAAGCTACTTAATAATATATGATTTACTGGGTTTGCATTAGAAAAACTACATGGAGAAAATTACATGAAGTCTAAGTTTGCTATAAAAACAACATATTTTTATTAAAGTAATTAAAAGTCAAAAAACAACAACAAAAGGGAAATTCCACAACCTTTGTTTGCAACTATATAATATTTATGTAGAAAAACTATAAAGTGACAGTCTGATCTGGAAAGCAGCTCCATAATAAACCTAATCCATACTTACATCAAGAGTTAACTAAATTATGGAATCAGTTCACCCAAAAGAAATTGTCTTGCTGTAGAATATTTCAGCTGAGCTGGCTTCGACTATATTATTCTTATTTCTGACAAACTCTTTCCTGATATTTCAAATCACCAAAGATATAACATACATGAGCCTGCTGAAGTAGAAGAATAAAACAAATACTCCAAGCACAATCACATGTGAAAATGAATGAGGGCATTTTATCTATAGATCTACAAAGCTATACAAATTGCCAATTATACATATAGTCCATTTACATTGAAGCTCCATGAGGTGGTACTGAGTAAACACTGAGGCATTGAATTTTCAACAATGGAACAAGGCTCACTCTGAACAGCAGCACATTCCCACCTTTCAGTCTATCACCACAACACTTCCCCTGGGATTTGTATTTGTATATTATCTAAGTGCTGGGAAGTAGATAATAAAAATAAAGGAAAAAGCCAACAGGACAATGAATTAAATACTTCCAAAAATCTATTCTAAAACATGCATGTGAAGTATGAAGAGACCAAGCACTTTGTAAATGAGTTACAGTCACATGTTCCTTTAAACATTTATTAGTGTCTTCACTAATACAGCCCCGAATTTTCTATAATTAAGTTTTCCATTAAAATGTAACAGAGGAGGAAAACAAAAAAGCTACTTTTTAAATGTACAGTCTTAGAAAAGTGGTACTATTTATTTTTAAAACAACTTTCTCTGCTAAAGAAATCACACTGTGTGGTCATCAGAATAATTCAAGTCACTTTAGAAATACAGAGATTTGCTCTTATTTTTAATAAATAATGATAAACTATTATCATGGCCATATAATTTTTCAGAACTTATGCCACTATGGAGTACAGAATATTTGTAATAAACCGAAATTTGATCATGATTAAAATTTCTTTAAAATATTTTCAAGTGCTCAAAAAGATGAAAATTGGGGGGAAAATACGTTAAGTCAGAGCAAGTATTTCCTTCAAGATTCTTTAACTGGCATAAAAGTCTCAGGGTAAGCCCATGGGAATGGTCTGCAATATGGAAAAATTAGGTCAGTGTATAGTAATTTTTGCATAATTTAGCAGAAAAGCCAATAGCATTCTGAGCCAAATAAAAGCATTCTTTTGGGTCAGGGCTTTTTGTTGTGTTAGTTCTTTAATCTCTAACTGTTCAACATGTTACAGTTCAGAAATTTCCATATGTTTACTAGCAGTAATAAGGAAATACAATGCCAACAAGATTCACCAACATGATCCTTTTTAATCATAGGTCTCTCTTTGGTAAGAAACAGACCAACACTTATTTACTTTTTCTCACCTGTAGTAAAGAAGAGAGTTAAATGGCATTAACATGGTAAAAAAAAAAAATCCCTGTGTATAAATGCTAGGTAGGTGGGCTTAAGCCATAAGAAGAGTAGACAACAGAATTTCCTCCTCCATGAAGTTGTGGTAAACAATTGGTCTTTCCTGTAACTAGAAGACCATGCCTATGACTCTACATACTCACAACTTAAGAGCATTCTTTAGATAAGAAACAGATGAATAAGAAGCTATTTAAAAAAATGGCAGAACAGCTTTCCCCTTAAAACTCACCAATTTCGGATCCCATTAAACTTTCATAGAATCTACTTACTCCAGATATTTTCTAGATATGTTCTCTAAACATTTTCTACTCACTCCTGCTTCTCCAAGATATTTTTGAGAGAGAGAGAGAAAGAGAGAGAGAGAGAGAGAGAGAGAGAGAGAGAGAGAGATAAGCATCTCTTCCAACTTGACTAGAAAAACGATTACCTGACCAATTATTTCCAAGCCTATAACAGATACCAGTGAATGATGGAACGCCAAAATCACCAGCAATTCAATACTATTGTTATTTTCACAAAGAAAGATAGATTATAGAAAATTCCATTCTCCCAGGCAATGAACAGGGGAGAAAAATGTTACTTTTTAAATGGCTATATTTATAGGCTTTTAAATATCAGCACCAAATGTTCACTTTTAATTATTCTGAGCGACTCTGAGGAATGAGTATTTCCTAACAAAATGGACAAACAAAAGAGTAAATGATAAGAAAATACCTTTCAAGCAATAGTCTGCATGCTGATAAGAACCATTAAGTAAAACAATCTGATTGGTTCATTTCCAAAGCTATTACAGATTTACCCAATTTGGAAATAGCATGCCTTACTGCTCAGCTAATATAGCTACTCCCCAAATAATGGACAGAACATCTTATTTTGTCACTAGGCAAGATTAAGTAAAACAAATTGAAAAGATATTTTTAAAAAGCAAGCTAAATCAAAACAATCCATTATCAGAATAATTTTCTACTTTCTCTATTGGAAGGAAAAAACCATCAAACCACTGTATAAAGTACCTAAATGGAAAACTGAAAGCAAGATTCACAAATAATAGTGTCAGTTCAAGTCTACATAACCCTTTATTATATTATATTTATAGCTATATTATAATCAGCATCACACAAGTTTTCTCATTTCTTCCTCATACTGCAGCAATTTTATTCTCATTTATAATAGATTTCAACTCTGCAGATGGTTTAAATCAATGTTTTGCATCTTAAATTTACAAATCATTGGATGTTGTTTCCTAAAAACAATTTTAAATTTTACTTGATAATAACTAAAACTAAATTTTTTTTTAAAGGTGTTTTAAACAGAAACTTGTACAAATATTCTGATATCAGTGTTTGAAAGAAAACAATTTTAAATTTTACTTGATAATAACTAAAACTAAATTTTTTTTTTAAAGGTGTTTTAAACAGAAACTTGTACAAATATTCTGATATCAGTGTTTGAAAGGCAGTCTACAGAAGACTATAAAAGGACAATTATCATACAAAAGAATTCTACGGCCAAATCTTGTTAGAAAATTTCTTTTATAAATAAACTTCTATCATTGATAGAAGATGAAATCAAAAGATGCATATGTACTTTTCCCCTAAAAATAAGTAGTTGCTGAGGACACAGGTTGGGTGTGTTGAAATCATATTGCTTCTTTGAAAACAGAAAAAATGTTTTAGCCAGGCATTCTATTAACAAAACACAATGTCATATCCACCCAGTCTTTTGATCTCTGGGTATTAATATTACCCAAGACAGCCTTACTGAAGAAATTGGTTAGCAAACCTACCTAACAGGAGTCTCAGATCCCTTAATTTCAAGAGCCAACTTGGTAAATATAAAACTTTAGCCACTTGAACACTGGAGCTTGTAAAGTGCATTAGGTATAAGAAACACAACAGTAGTTCCAAACTTACTTAGTAGGACTTTAAGGGACTTGTATCACCAATGTGGCAAAAAAACAACATTACAGTTTTCTGTTCAGATTTTATTTGAAATCTAACTCAAATTGTCAAAGCTACAAAAGGAGGGGAAGACATCTGTATTATTTTTGCTAAGTCACAACATCCTAAAACCAAATACTACTACTGCCAGCAGATCCATTATACACATTTCTGATGAAATTCATTAGCACAATAAAAATTTCATCTTGAGAAACAGCCACAACAAAAGTAATTTATACAATATAAAACAATGACAGATCTACAGATGCAGTTACTCATGAGTTTACACATGCATTCACAAACAAACAAAAAACCCCAGGAATGCTCTTTCATTTGATTTTTTGTTTTTGTTTCTAAAAAAACAGACCATTCAGGCACAAAACATAATCGCATTTCCAATAAGTGACAGCATCTTAAAAATTTATGTCAGTGTTTGTTTTTCTTTGACTTTTTATGAGACCTGTGTGGAGATCGGGACTGGGATCTGGATTTCTTCCCTGATTTTTTAGGGGATCTAGACCGTGATCGCCTAGATCTTTTAGGTGTCCTTGAACCAGATGGTGATCTGCAAAAACAAATAAAACAATTTATCAAAGTTCTCATGTGATCAAAATTGATTGTTCTTCAATTATCTAAAACAATCTTTAACAGAGCACAATGAACACCACTGAAATAAACAAGATTTTTAAACTTCTCAAATTTATACTTTGCCTCTCAAATTTAGACTTTGCCTGTCATATGTGTGCACACCCACAAAGATTTATTTTGTACCTACTATGCAATGATCATCGGTATAGTGCTTGTTTAAAAAGATAGATTTCTGGGCCGGCCCGGTGGCACACTGGAGAGTGCGCCGCTTGGGAGCGTGGCGGCGCTCCCGTTGCTTGTTTAAAAAGATAGATTTCTGGGCCGGCCCGGTGGCACACTGGAGAGTGCGCCGCTTGGGAGCGCGGCGGGGTTCGGATCCCATGTGGAGACCGGTTCCTGCTCACTGGCTGAGCGCGGTGCGGGCGCAACACCGAGGGTTGCGATCCCATTGCCGGTCCCCGGTACGGGCGCGACACCGAGGGTTGCGATCCCGTTACCGGTCAGTAAAAAAGACAAAAAGGAATTTAAAAAAAAAAAAGATAGATTTCTGAGCCCTACCACTGCTCTCTGAATCAAAATCTCCAGATAGGGACTGAGAATTTGTTTTAACAAACTCCCCAGGTAACTGATACCCTCAAAATGTGAACCTCTTGTCTACAAAATAAAGTTCAAAATGGCACCTAAGACCACTCACAAAATTTTAAAAATATAGCAGCTTTGTAGCCTATCACCTTGAGGGAAAAAGCACCAACGACTGCAATATCATTCAAGGGCAACATTGAAGATAGCATAATTTTTTAAGTGTTGTTCATGAAGATTATCAAAACAAATATACACATATACACCCCCACATGAGGGGTCTTCAAAAAAGTTCATGGAAAGATTTGTATTATCTCTTAACATTTTTACACAAACTTTTGGAAGTACCCTCATGTACACACACATACATAAATACAAACATATATGTATATTCACATATGTATGCAAGTGCCATTTAGAAAAAGAGGAAGGATTTTACTAAAGAGAGGTACAATAATAAAGTGTTAGTATTTATTTTATAAAGATTTTACTAAAGAGAGGTACAATAATAAAGTGTTAGCATATAAAAGCAGTTTTAGCTCTCAGAAAAATTCCTATATATAACACCAGATAAATTGAACATTTCTAACCCACTTTTCTGGAACTAAAAGAAAAAATATATAAAATATTAAATTACATACTGAAGAAATAGTATTTACTGTATTTATTTCAACAACTCTCTGCTCAAGACCTAGATAATATTGCTGTGGAGAAAAAAATGTATTTTTCTTTCAGCTTTGACAAAATCAAAGAATATTCTATAGAAACTAAAGAAAAGTGAAAAGTGAAGCAGCTACCCCTATTCTACAGGAAACACTGGATGTCACGTTTAAAAATTATTGGCTGGTCTTTACTTGTTGGAAGCCTTCTTATACTTTAGTCATGAGAAAGACTGGGGTGGGGAGGTAGGGAGAAATAATCTAAAAGTAAAGTATACCTCTTTGGTTTTCTAAAATCCTTTTTAAAAATGTATGTCAACCAAATTATTTTTTAAAGCTGGTAAAATGACAAGGAAACTGGTATTTGAAATATTACCAAAAATTATTCGCAATTACCTTTTGGCTTTTTTGCTAACATCTCTAGGAGAATCTTTGTGAGATGACCTGGACCGTGAGCTCTCTTTATGAGATCTTTCTGAACGCTCTGATCGCTCCGATTTTGGTGATGGGGATTTCACTCGTCTACCACTGCTACTGCGAGATGGGCTGGGGGATGTACTGTGTCGTCTTTTCCTATGGAACAAAGCCCCCAAAATATTCCATAAGTGAGCAAAAAATACCTATTCATTTTCCTTTTACTGAATTAGCTATTAATTCCTAAAAGTTTAGTCTTTTTCCTCACTAACCATATTAATGTTATTTTCAACAACATTCAAAGTCCTTTATACCAAGGAACAAGTCTAATAGGTTGATCGAAAAACAACTGAGTTCAACTAAATTGGATTTTCTTTTACTATAAGAGAGATTATTGGGACAATCAACACAATTTAATTAAGGTCTCTGGATTAGTTTTTTTAAATTAACATTTAAAAACTAATCCAGAGTTGTTTTTAAATTTAATTTCCTGATCCGATACTTTTATATGGTTAAAAGATCAGGGCATCATGTTGGCAAATTATTCTTAAATGGTTGGAGGTGAGATGGACAAGAAAGAATAAAGCAAAAGTAAAAAATATTTTCACATTTGGGAAATGTGGGTAAAGGGTATCTAGGAATATTTTATACTATTCTTGAAACTTTTCTGTGAATCTCACTAATAATAAAAGACAAAAATGTGACAGATTTTTTATTTAACCAGTTGGTATAACTTTTTTGCTTGTAACTATCTGTAGAGTGAACGAACCACAATTTTCTTTATTTGCAATCGGTTGGTTTTCTAATTAGGAAAACCTGAGTTCTGTTAACTGAAGCGATTTTCTTCACTAAATCAAAGATTTAGGAACTATGAAAGTAAGAAATAAAAACCGAAATGGAAATGCTTTTAATTAGAATGAAGACAAAGTGAAGAGCAAGTCTCTATCTATGGCCTATGTACACAATCTCCCTTCAAGATAAGACTGACTCAAGTTTACAGGTAACAGTCTCAGCACAGAGACTGGAAAAAATGCTTATACTGGAGGCAACAAGGAAGACCTAGCAAGATGTTTTGTTATTTAAGTCTCAGGTTTGATATCTAATACTGTAATTGAATTCTTGCAATGAAGGCTAAGGTACCATATGAACCATTTAAAGGGAAGATGCCCCAGTTGACTAAGCCAAAGGCCAACTAAACGCGCAATTTCTCAGCTAATTCTGCCTCCTGCAGGCAGGAGCCAAACATGCTTATCATGAAAAAACACTGTTGGTATCAGTGACAAAAACGTTATAAAATGAAACACCACTCCAAATTTTGAAACCAGTATACACATTAAATATGAGAAATGTTATATACCTTTCTTTCCTTGTTGGAGTACACTCATCTTTTTCCTTCTTGTCTTTGGATCGAGATTCCAATTTTTCTTTATCTTTCTTGTCTCTTTCTCGTTCTCTTTCTAATTCTTTCTCTTTCTCCTGTTATTTTTTAAAGAAAATATTTAGTTATTTAAAAATATCAACCTGGATTAATCTCATGTAACAATATTTTCTCTTCTAGAAACCATTTTTTAAATCACCATCTAAAATAAATACCATTTCCCACTTCCAAAAAAATACCTCCCCCTCCAGGAAAACTAGTCATTTCTTCTACTTATATTGAGTAATAATACTAGTAACAGCAGCTAAATATGTTTACTAAGTGTTTACAATAGGCTAAGCAATGTACTAAACAACCTTCCATATACCATTTCAGTAATCCTGACAACAGTACTACTACCCTCATGATGAAAAATGAGACTCAGAAAGATCAAGTACATTGTCTGTGTCACACAAGATGGTGAAATCAAGATGAGAGCCCAAGATCTACAGCCAGAGCTCTTACCTGCTCCCCACCAACAATAAGAAAAGTCAGAAAAAGCTAACAATGCACTGACCTTTTCCATCAGACTACACTAAAACAGTAAAAACTGATTCTTCTAACGGTACAGAGTAAGTTGATTTAATCAAAAAGAGCTCTTACCAAAGCAATAGGCTGAAAAGGAGAATTGGCTATTCCCAATAATCTTCCATCAAAATATTATTGGTGAGACATAAGTACCAATTGTATTGGAAAATTTTAAATCCTAGTTTACAAAAATACAAACTGACTACATGACCCTGTAATCATATAAGCCAGAAAAATAACATATTTGCTTATCCCCAGATGCTACAACAGCCACTTCTCACTTGAAATTTTGATTTCTGTTGGTTAGAGTAAAATTAAAGGAGTGGCTACAGACAACGAACCCACAAAGCCAACTTAGTTCTTCACTAACAGAAATTTAATTTCTCAATGATTTGTATGCATCAAAAAAGCTATCTGATAGCTGATTCTTCCAGCTTTTAAAAGGTTTAAAAGTCTGTACCAAATGTTGGGAAACTTTTTTTGTACAGCCAGATGGTAAATATTTTCTGCTTTGTGGGCCACATACAGTCTCTGTCACAACTACCCAACTGTGCCACAACAGTGAAAGCCATCATAAATGGTACATAAGTGAATAGGCCTGGCTGTGTTCTGAATAAACTTTATTTACAAAATCAGGCAAGAACCACAGTCTTCTGATTCCTGGCATATACCTTCAAGAAACATATCCGTCTCTCCTATTATAATCATGAAATGGGAGGAGACTAAAGTGATAATACATTTTCAGCTTGCTACCACCAGGACCAGTGAGCATCTCAAGGTGCAGTCTTCCATGCAGACTGTCACCATCTCCAAAGCGACCCATGAGGTACAGATAAGGAGCATCTTTCTAAAAACCTCATTTATCTTTTTTCTAAATACAACATATAGAGGACAAATTTAAAAAGTGGTGCTGGGCCGGCCCGGTGGCGCACTGGATAGTGCGCCACTTGGGAAGCGCGGCGGCGCTCCCGCCCGAGGGTTCGGATCCCACATACAGACCGGTTCCTGCTCACTGGCTGAGCAAGGCGCGGGAGCAACACTGCATAATCCTGCATATTTTATGTACAAGAACACAAAGTCCCTCTAAAGCTTAGAATTCACAGATGAGATATTCTACCATCTGCTGTCCCTCCTTGGGACAATGGGAAAGGAGTCCTAAATGAAATTCTCAACACCAAAACCTCCTAAACCTTTCTTCTGTCTTTATCTCTGTGCCACTTCTCAAAGTTGTTGGTATCTCAGTGTCACAAACATGACTTTTCCTATAGGGCCTTCCAGTTTTGAAAGCACGCTCCTAGCAGGATTAATCTTCTAGTCTACAGGTGGCACCCAGAATAAAATAGCGTACGGTTGCCTTAGAGACCCCTTTTCCAAGTTGAAATAGTTTTAAAACATCAAACTTCAAATGTTTCTGTCTACCTGTATTCAAAATTTACACAAAGAATATGACCTGAAATATACTTAACTATACCAATATATCAATATTCTAGGAAGTCAAATAAACAACTTTTGAAAATAGATATTATTGAGTATACTTATTACTTACTCGTTGAAGAAGTTTATCTCTGTAATGTTCTACTTGCTCCTGAAAACTTTGGCCTGGTTTTTTAGGTCTTTTTCCAGATTCCAATTCATCTTGAAACTTCATAACTTTGAGCTGTGAAATAAGACATTTTTAAATAAGTATTTACATTGCTATAGCTTCTCAAGCTCTGCTTTGCTCCTTTTCTAAAGCAAACTAGTAAGTAATGAAGACTAAGCCAAAATACAACCTCAACATAAAACTCCCTTATCTGAAGGCCAGTAGTCAGACAAGCCCAACTACGGAAAATACAAGTGATCACATGTGAACCCACATGCTCTCTGCACAGCCATATGAGAAGACTCAAAAACAACGAACTGTGTGCTTTATTCCCTTAAGAATCTACTTATTCTCTCAAAACAATAATAATGAATTTGGTATCTGGTTCCCAAAATTAGAAAGGCAAGATTGCTAAAGGCAAGCATACTGCCAGCTAGATAAGACAGCCAGCAGAACACAAACAGATAAACAGCTTAAAATGAAAAAGGAAAAGGCAGCACTCTGGTTACAGCCTATGTAGGACCTGGAAAGCACATGGATCCTGGATGGTACCACCGCGCTACAGTCCCAAAACTGCCCAATCTTGTTTCACTCAAGGAGAGGGGAAAACATTCCTGTCTACTGGAATTATTATAGATGCTAACATCTTATCCCATTTTATTCAGACACTGATGAAATAAATGATAATATAGCATTTTATTTATATTTAAAAGACAAGAAAGTTGTTTAAGGATTTCCCCCCCCCCTCACAACAAATGAGGCTTTCCAGTAGAATAAAATAAGCTATAAAAACTGTTTTTCCCCCATTCAAAGTAATATTTTCACCATTTTTAACTTCATGAAGTCCACTGACTTCATTTTTGTCCATTTTCTACCTAATTTCACTTCTATAATCAAGGTCTTTTATAATCAAAGCTTTAATGTTCTCTCCATCTCTTCTTTCAAAACTCTTTAAAAGTCTTCACATTTTTTTGTATTCTAATGCTGACTACATTTTAAAATATAATAAGATGTAAGGTTCAAAAATAAGGGAGGCAGGCAATATAAATGGCCGAGTTCGCCACTGTGTGAAGTCTTCCACAATAAAAGTGACTCTGTTCTGCAGAATGTATTTGTGGTAAACCAGTTTAAGAGTTAAGCACCTATGAGTCAAACAACAAATCTGAATGTTACTTAGAGGAAAGGAGGCATTCCTAGAGAATCTTTTTAAAAGATCATTATTAAATCCCTACTTACAGTTCCTGCTGATATGGTCTAACTCAGGCTCAAGCACAAGCCCAAGGCACCCATGGGTCTCAACACAAAAGGGCATGAAATAACTTACTAGTCATCCTTCCTCTGTTGCCTTGGAACAGTGGCCAGGTATATCACCTTCCCACTCAACTATTCACTCTTTCCTCAGGGACCAGGGCAGAAAGAGATTTTTCTTCAAAAACATAGAAGACCCTACACTTGGTTCCTCTCACCCACTGTTCTACTTCTCCAACCCTTGTTGGCAGAAATGGGGAAAACAGTAGAGCAGGAGAAAACAACTTTAGCCTAGTCACTGCTCTAAGTGGTATCTGAAAGATTAAGAACTTGCTTGTGGTTCAAATCAATTCCTCTCACCCACTGTTCTACTTCTCCAACCCTTGTTGGCAGAAATGGGGAAAACAGTAGAGCAGGAGAAAACAACTCTAGCCTAGTCACTGCTCTAAGTGGTATCTGAAAGATTAAGAACTTGCTTGTGGTTCAAATCATATGCCTATAGGTTTTTTGTGTTTTTGCAGAGAATCAGTATTTTATAACATGAATCTTTTGGTTTTTATTAGTCCCATGCTAAAAAATGTTCAGCTATAGGTCTGAACATTATTAGGACACATTTGGGGAAGGGAATAGCTTTGAAAAAGCAAAACTATAGTATTATTAAATTAATTGGATAAACTAATTTAAACTTCATTCTTTACTTAATGGTTCTCCATTAAAACGGTTAGCACTCACTGGATTCTAAATCCAGAAATTGATACTCAAACTTAAGGGCAGAGAAGACAGACAGGAAAAGCACTGGAATAAAGCCCCTGCGTGCTGAGTTCTAGTCCAAATCTGTCTCCATTTGTGGAGCTTTATTCCATATGACCAAATCTCTCAGAGTAAATAAGGAAGAAGGATTAGATAATTCTAAGACAAAGCCAAGATCTACATTTTAAAATTAGGATTTGATTCATAGTCAAATCCCAGAAGGACAAGAAAATTGTAAGAGGTAGTCACTATGAGTGCAGGAGAAATAATCACCAGAGGCCAGATTATGAAAGAGTACATAAAGCATGAAAATGTAAGCCTATAAGGTGTGCACATACACACATCTATCACATATGTACCTTCACAGTGTGCAAATAACGTTCACAGAAACCACCCAAGTTACCAAAAGGCTAAATTATATGGGTTTTTTTCTCTTTAAGTTAATAAGGAAATAAGACATTTTAAAAGGATTAAATGGTCTGTTTTGGCATTTGTAAGTGGGTAATATCAATTATCAAGAAAATATACTTTTCCTGAACTGAGTCTTTGTTTTCACTCTAACAGCTGCATCAGGTCAGTAAAGCAGAGCTTCTCAGTAGGTGTGAGGGGCATGTACAGGCTGAAAAGGTCCTCAGGTGAATGTATTCACTGATACACAATATCTTATTCCCCCCAAAATCTTATTAAAAATGTATATGAATACACCGGAGGAAAAATGAATCAACTTATTAACTGAAAATCCCTTATCATTACTTATAATGGTATTAAAACAAAATGTTTTTTGTTAAATCTGAGAAAGAGGTGAGCAAGAAATTATACCAGCCCAACAGCGACTATGTGAGGAAATGAAAATGAGGTAACTAACATGGTAGGTATCATAAGTCAGTGAAAGGAATAGTACTGGCATACACCAGGTATTCAAAAATGCTGTCAAATGAACAAACAGAGTATTAAAATTCACCCTTATGTATTCTTTTGAGGTTCTGGACTGACTGCTATATTACTGTTAGCATTTACTGGAAAATATCCCATCACCTTGGGGCATTAGAAAACCTTTCTCTGATATGGCTGGAAAATAGACTTTGATAAAACAAAAGGCACTAAAAAGGTGAGGGGATGAAGAAAGAGAGAAAAAAGTCTGCGTATTTTGGGCTCTCCTATATATTTTCCCCCCTCTTAATGTTAAGACCCACTCAATGTCTACTCTCTTACCTATCTTCAGAGGTGCAGGCATTTGAAATGAGCCTACCATAATAAAATATAAACATAACTTGAATGTGCCAGAAAATATTTTTTCCTAGATACTACATACACTCAAAATGTAATGGATTTCCTACACAGATTTAATCTGATCATTAGAATCCATTTCTTCAGAGGATCTCCTACGTGCCAGGTACTAGAGATATAATGATGAACAGAAAACAGACATGATCCTTTCCCCTCATGGAAACTGCAGCCTAGTGGGGAAGACAGACATTAATAAGCAAGCAAGCAAGCAAGCACACACACACACACACACACACACACACACACACACACACACACACAGAGGCACGCACGCACGCACCCCATAATACATGCAAAATCACAGAGATAAACAGGGAAAAGCAAACAAGTTCAGAAGGGTAAGAAAAGGCTACCGTGAGAGAATGGATGCTTGAACAAAGAGGCCTGAAGGAGAGACACTTGGTATGAAGGTTTCTAAGCACAAAGAGGGAACAGTATGTACCGGGTTTAATGCCAAGAGGGAGCTTAGTTTAGTGGAGAAAGTGAAAGGCCGGTGAAGTGTAGTTTAAACTTCATCACAATACTAACCTCTATTTCACGAAGTTTAGCTCGTTTGTTTAATGCCAAGAGGGAGCTTAGTTTAGTGGAGAAAGTGAAAGGCCAGTGAAGTGTAGTTTAAACTTCATCACAATACTAACCTCTATTTCACGAAGTTTAGCTCGTTTTTCCTCACTCATTTCAGAGTACTTAGAAAACTTGGACTCAGTCATTTCTTCTTTGATTGGATTGGAGTACAAATGATGTTCTTCAGATTTGGAACTTTGAGTATCTTCTTCATCTTCACTTTCTTCTTCTTGACTTTGGAAATAAGCAGAATACATTGTATGTCAAGGCAGCAAAAAAAAAAAAAAAAGTACTACATTTTACAGTCTGGATATTTTATTTTTCATTGTCTTAGAGTTTAAATAATGTTAACAAACCATAAAAGGAAAATTCATCCCTAAAACATTTTTTGAAAAATACCTGATCAAATATTTTATAAACAATTTTGTGTTTCCTCCACAGAAAAAAGTGTGAGCTTCAACTAAATACTTTAATTCTGCTTATGCTAATGTTATCTGTGTGCCTTTCATTCTGCAAAGAACTTTCCTTGCAGCAGTTAATGAAATGAATAATGAATGATTTCCACATACTTCACAATTCATAGTAATTTTATGAAGCTTTATGTTTAAAAAGCTAAATGTTTACCCTTCCTTCAGCAGAGCCTATGGAAAATACATGAGTTTCAGTCAGAGTTACTATGAAGCAATCAATGCAGCATGTAAAAGCCTTATCTGGTTAGCACATAACCCTAAAAATAAAGCAATGCATAAATTTTAAATATAAGCAAATATCAGTATTCATGTTACAGTTGATTCTGAAAGTTATACTGGTTCTAGGTCAGACAAGAAAAAAATGAAAACCTGAGTGACTACCGTGGGACAGAGTTTTGTGTGTGTGTACATTATTGACAAATAAATCTTAGCAAAACAAGACACCAACGAACAAACATACTCAAAATGTTTATGCTTAATTCCTTACAAACAATACTGACTATGATAATAACATTATTGGCACAGCATAGAATATATGCCATTTTGACTTTAATATCTGAAACTGGTAAGCCTTTATGTGTTGGTATTTGAGTACTAAATTCATTCTATGGTAAGTAGGAGGAATATTTTTATTACGCACTTTAAATTATTCATAATAATGTAAAAGCGGTTTTAACTAAATTCTTTCCAAACAAAAATTTAATTAGTTTAAAGTCTTATGTAATTGTAATAAGACTCACACATTGAATGAGGAAAATTTAAGCCAGGACAATAAAAGAAAATTGCTAGCAATTCAGAATCAGAAAAGAAATGGTACTAACAGAAGACTGCTACCTTTTTAATTTCTCACCAAAGTTCTTTTCCAGAACATTACTAAAATATTTTACAAACTTCATAGAGTCCCACAAATCATTTATCCCACACATATAGGTAAAACTCAGTATAGTACTTAAGTAATCAAGAAAAAGAAAAAGAGTCAAAACCAACCATTAAAAAAACTTTATATTCTTTTGAAAATAATCAAGCTTTTAACTTAGTATTTCTCATTAATTTGTCAGAAACTTCCTAAATGCAGTTTTCAGTTGAAGTAGGTGTGTATGTCAACAGGGATGTTTATGAAGAATTATTCTAGAAAGGGTCAATCAATAAGGACATGACTTGGTTATTTAGTTAAATTGCAGTGTCTATGCAATGGAAATCACTTAGCCAATTCCAGCCTGTTACTTACAATGTTTCTAATTTTTTTTGCAATTTCACATATTCCTTTGTAAGCATCCCTGCACATTTATCTCAATGCTTACTTTCAACCATAGATGAATCAGAACAGGTAAATGTACGGAGTGACATGGAGTAATACCCATGACATTTGAGTGGAAAACATGGGTTATGGAATAGTATGTATAGTATTAAACCATTTATGTTAAAATAGATATGCATGTTTATATATATAGAAATGTTCTGATGACTGACCATTAAACATTAACCATATTATTGAAGACCTTTTAAATGAGCTATACGACTCAGATAATTTAAAATGTGTACATGTTTTACAATTGGTATTATTCTTTTTCAAGGCCTGACCAGTTTGTTTTAATTGGTTTTGGCCTTAGCTTCTAGTTCCAGTTTTAGGTTCAGATTTCATCACAGCTGCCTCTTGCTCTTCTTTTAAAAGAAATAAAAATTCAATACTCTAAATCCACAGACAATTCATTACAATTAAAATTATTTTGGGGGACTTTTGTCTAAAACATTAATATTGCTATATTATTTTAATCACATTTCTGCCACAAATGCAATAATTACTAGTCACGAAAAGCAGTTCTCAGTAAAAAGGCATTTTGGATTCAGCCACTAGAGAGTAGTAGTGAGACATAAAAAAATTTCAAGAATCAGAAAGTTGTATGCAAAAAAAAATTTTTTCTCTTGCTTTGTACTTTCAGTTATTTTTATATTATCATGACTTCTCGGGAGTTCCCAAAAACCAAACATATAAATTATACTTCTAGCAATCCATGCTTCTATCAAAGTATGATTTTTCCAACATTAACACTAAAATATACTCATTTTCTAAACATTAACACAAATATCAATTTCATGCCAAAAAACTAATACCTTTAGAAATAAAACCAACTGAATATATTGAGTTTTAATAGCTTTTCTAGCCTTCCTTCTCCCTAAATAAATTACTTTATGAGTACACGTTTTAAAGGAGTGATTCTAAAATGATGAGATGATACTAATGATAGGACTGTGAAGATAAAAAAAAATTAAGAAAACCACAGTTTGAAAGCAAGCTGAACTAAACTACTCCCAATTCCTGTGTTCCTACATAGCCTCAGCTATTTCCATCAGCAAGCTACACATATATTTTGTAAATACTTTGTCTTAATCATTGCTGACTTGTTCTGATCACACTAACATTTCTGGAAAGACATCATTGTGAACACATTTTCCTCATCATATCAAACTGTGTTTCTACAACTGCTGATTGATCACATTTCTTTAACAATCCAAATGCCGATTTATTGGATCCACACAAATGCCCATATTATACTAGGATACAAAGGGATTTTCCTTTTGTTCCCTCTTCCAGTTGAAAACAGTAAAAGAACATATTTTTTCAAAACAAATTTGTTTNAAAAAAAAATTAAGAAAACCACAGTTTGAAAGCAAGCTGAACTAAACTACTCCCAATTCCTGTGTTCCTACATAGCCTCAGCTATTTCCATCAGCAAGCTACACATATATTTTGTAAATACTTTGTCTTAATCATTGCTGACTTGTTCTGATCACACTAACATTTCTGGAAAGACATCATTGTGAACACATTTTCCTCATCATATCAAACTGTGTTTCTACAACTGCTGATTGATCACATTTCTTTAACAATCCAAATGCCCATTTATTGGATCCACACAAATGCCCATATTATACTAGGATACAAAGGGATTTTCCTTTTGTTCCCTCTTCCAGTTGAAAACAGTAAAAGAACATATTTTTTCAAAACAAATTTGTTTCAAGCTCTTGACGCCATCTATTTCTGTTTTTAAAAATTCAACTTCCTTCACATGATTTTTTAAAAAGTGTCAAGTGCTTCCTAAAAACTATCTATCCAAACTTGCAGGAGAATGTGAGAGCAGAAATTCCTTATAATCCCACAGTTTCAAATGCAAAAACAATTGTTGGATGATTACCAAAGACCAAAAATCAAAATTATAATTTCTCTATACTTCAAAAGGGGTTTTTCTTCCCCCTTTTATGCATTCTTAGTTCTTCTGAAGTGTTTATATTTAAATAACACATTGGTCATAATATGCTTTTCTTAGCAATATACAGTCCAAAAGAAAAAGCATAATCTTCCCACTTGCATTTTAAAAATCACTTTTTGTGAACCCCAAAACAATATCTGGTAACAAATATTTAAAACCAATGCAGTCAATCAATTAGTATAACCTAGCATAGAAAATAAACTGAAAAGCAAAGGGAAACCAAATTCATCGAGAGGAGAAACCAAAAGCTCTTTATTTACTGGAAAAACAATGGAGAACTAAAAATGATCCTCTTACTAAGTTGTTTTTTTTTTTAAGAGTGAAGTTTTCCTCTTCACTATTTTTCAACCATACCTCTTAATGAAAAAGGTAGTATGCAAAGACAAGAAACTGAGTATATTTGAAACTTAGATTCTTACTTTTGATTTTCTTCTTCTTCTGATTCCTCGTGCTGGTCAAATAACTCCCATTTAGAAGTTGTTACAGCTGAATGGAAGGAAGAAGAGGATGTAATTTCATAAGGTAAATTAGCATTTTTGCAGTAGCATAGCAGAGGTCCAACTTTAAAACTGAAAGTTTATATATACTATAGAAGTGTTTATCTATTTTATAAAGACATTTCTTTGTGCTAATTCTCCATTTTTCCTCACATTTACACTATAATTTTATTCAATTCCATGAAGTGACAATAAATGCTGTCATCCTTATTTTTGTGTTGCATGCTAAGATTTATTTCATTAGAACCTACAAATGTTAACAATTATAAATCATAAGCACTGGGATACAGGTCCAAGTACACATGAAAGGCAGTCTAAACTGTATCTAATAAGTCAAGTGTTATGGAAGAGTTAAAGCCTACTTTCTCTGAAAATGACTCAAAGTAGATTTCCAAATAAATATGGCTTCCTACCCTACCTACACTTTCTACCAAAATTCCTTAACCTAAAAGGTTTCCAGTGGTTGCTCTGATTACTCTCAAAGCTTCTAAATGGAAGGATCTAAGAAAATAACAGCACACCAACCACAATAAAAGCTTACACTAGATATAAAATATGATAACAATGGGTCTTAAATGTTGAAACGTGTTATAAGACATGAAAGGAAAACATATACACAAACACAATGATTAATTTGTAAGTACTTAATTTTTTAAAGCACAATATTTATTGTACTTTTACTCACCCTGTGCTTCCAATTCAGATTCATCTACAGCTTCCCATTTTGATGGGGCAACTTTAAATATAGGCTCATTTTTCTTTGAGTCTTCAGTTGCATCCACTATTGGGGAAAGATGAAGCATTAATTCTTACTATAGGATGACCCAAATTAATCAGTTCATGGGTATTCACTACATTATTAAAAAACAAAGTAGAATAAAGCCACATGTGGACAAATAATGATAGTATCAAGAACAAGGATTATGGCTAACCCAATTCTCTGAATCTGAGGTCTAATTTTTAAACAAACAGTATTTATAGCAACTCAAAAAATAGAAATTAGTAATACTTTAAGCAAATGGAGAAGTTGAGAAGTAAAAAAATATTCTTAATACCTTGACCTAATTAGAGTCTAAACAACAGAATTCATATTTAACATACAATCCAAAGTTCTGAAGAGCTGTGTACACTTTCTACTTTCAAAATGATTTTAGGCAGCTAGGAAAACTGAACCTGTAAGTTAGGAAAATAATAAAAACAGAAGTGATAAAAACCAGGTACCCGGGATTATGAATATAACTAAAAACAAGATTTTGCCAATAATTTCCTAACAATTAAAACAAAAAGAGAAACTTGCTAATATTATAGGAGGCTGACTGTTCCACAAAGAAATGTGACTCAAACAAAAGACTTTTCTTGACACAGTCAAATGTACTACTGGGTATTTGAATTTTGAAAAGTCAAAGATAAAAGAAAAAATTTAATGACTGACATTCTGATTAAGAAATTATAACCTTTTCCATATCAGCATGTGCGGGAATTAAAGAGTTCCAGTACTCAAACTTATTAGTTGGATTTAATGAGTTTGAAATATGAACTCACAAGGCACTCCATCGAGATCATCATCAAGACTTTTTATAGGGACTCCATCGAGATCATCAATGGGAGTAGCATCAATAGGAATTCCATCCACATCTTCTAGAGGTGCTCCATCAAGCTCTTCCTCAATGGGGGCACCATCAAGGTCATCTGGTACATCCTATGGAAACAGGCACTATTGTAATATTTTCCTTTACTTGCTAAAGTCATATTGCTATAAGGAATAATCTGCAATCCAGTAGAAGCAAGCTTGGCTGGACACCCACCTTCCCAGGTACAATCTAAGGACATAATAAGAATACATTTTATCATCCAGTCTACCAGAGAAGCAGTCACACGTGCATTTATTTATCTAACATTTACCAAATGCTCATTGGTGCTAGGTACCACGTGAGGCAATGATAAGCAAAAACAGGTTTGGTCCCTTCTTGCAGAGCTGAGAAAAGGTTGTTGTTGCTTTTATTTGTGTGTGGGTAGGGAAGGACACCAGGAAATGAGGTAATCACAATATATATGTAAGTGCGACTATAATAGCTGCTAGAAAAAAGAGGTATATCATACTATTAGAATGTTAACAAGTCAGTATTAAATAACTAATTTTCACTTGAAGAAATCGAGAAGCCTCTCTGAATGTTCAGCTGAGAGACCTAAAGGATCTCAGGTAAAGAGAAGTTACAGAAAGAGAGAACATATATAAAGGCCAATGGTACATCTGAGAAACTGAAACAAGGACAATGTGGGCTGGAGAAGGGAGGCCAACTAGGATCCTCTTGCAGGAGAGTGAAAACATGGTAGCTTGATTAGGATGGTAGAAATAAATACGAAGGATTCAAGAACAATTTAGGGCGTAAAAAGCAACAGAATGGTGATGAAAAAAATCTGTTACCATTGTTCTTCATCTTTTCATGTACATATTTACTTGTATAACTATTTTTAGCAAAATGAGTCATGCTACATACATTACTCTATTGCTTTCTTTTTTCTACTAATATAGATCTTTTCACATCATCAAATGAAAAAGCAGCCACCAATTTTCACATAACACAAAACAGAGATTTCTTATTATATGTAATTTCGACTCCTGGACTCCAGCAATTCCGGCAATAAAAATTCACTATTCAGTGTTAAACAGCAGATACTTTTCACAAAGAAATGTTACTCCCGTATGTAACATATCACACCTCCACAGCAACCCCCACCCCAGAACCAAATTTTAAAAACAATCAAACATATATACTGAGTGCCTACCTCTGTTTCTTTTTCTTCAATAATATTTACAAGTCCTAAGAAAATATTTTGTAATTTGATCAAAAATGGTTCTGGATAAATTGCCCAATCTTCCCATGCTCTGAAGCAAGTCATTACTCGTTGCTAAATAAGCAAGAAACAGACAACGAATTATTATTTTGGGCACTAAGTCTCAAACTTCAGTTCCTTAGAATGACCATCATGATTTGCTGAATTTTCCTTTAAACTGACTTTTTTTTTAATTTATAGAAAATAATTATATATCATTACCATATTTTTAAAAAATTAATGCCACCTTCTAATTTAAAAGGAAAAGAATAACCCTAAAAATGAATATAATGAAAAAGAAATAGTAACTGTTTGCCTTTTACCACTTAAGGTCAACTCCCATATAATTAGTACTACACATGAGCCACGTTCTGGAAAGCATACACACAGACATTTATGAAAGCTGGAAATCAAAGCAGCTAAGTTTTTACCTGAATCCCTTGTGGGCCAGTGAAGTACTTCCTAATTCTGGCTAATACTTTTCTTTGCTCCTTCTCTCAACTTTTCTATAAATTCTAACTTATAGACAATATTTAAGGTTAAAAACTTTTTTAATGGAGTTGTTTGAATCCCCCATGGTAGGGTCAAGTAGGCATCTTCCCAAGTTAAGTTTTCTTTTTTTTTTTGTCTTTTTTCGTGTCCGGCAACGGATCGCAACCCTCAGTGTCG